TCTGGCATTGCGTAAAGGACGTTTAGGAAGTTTTTCAAGCAGCAAAAAAGTAAACAAAATTCGAAAAAAAACAACACGAATGCCGACGAAAGATGCAGACTGGTGAAGAAATAATTTTAGCAGAGGCTCTCCAAGTGGAAATTTAACTTTGGAGTCAGGTATATGTCATCAAATCCTACCCACTTTTGCTGCATTAAAACTTCCAGTCATTTTATACTCACTATAACAAGAAGGAAGGTCATACATAAGGTAGATTGAACAAACACACGCTATTTGCGGTCCTTGGCGTAATTATAGTTCACACGAGACAGAATACCCAAAACCCTTTCGAAAACTCTAAGACGAATGTACACATAGAAAAAGGAAGCAATACCTTTGCATAGGTAGAGAAGATCACTTTTCACAAACAGCCAACAATAGCAACTCCATATGCTCTCACTTTATGAATGATGTTGGTATTGTAAAAAAATACTCACGGTTAGATTATTATTTAGCAGAATACCATTAAAATGACTTGATAGTCCAAACTTCAGGGTCAATTAAATATATATGTATTCTCACCTTTGAAGGTTGTTAAGGGATAATAAAAAAATGGAAAATGTCATCAAATGTGCATTGAACAAAAGCAAATAGTGAGGCAAGAGGAATAGTAACTTTGCAGGAACCTAAACTCGCTCAATGTCTCTCCAGAATTTTATATTATAAAGCCAGACATCTACCTATCGGACTGTTAAAAGCTTCATCAGCTTGTCCACCTTGATACTACTACTAAGTACTCTAAAATAGTACAATAATTAAATTGGGTATGCCAGTCACAACTGGTCACCCGAAGACTGGGTAGATTGTCGCGAGCGTTGGGATTAGGGGGGGGGGAAGGAGTCTGATAGCCCAAAGCAAGAGCTTAGTTACTGAAGCCACAAAACCACTCGAAAGGCCGTGGTATTGGCGCGACGAAACCACAGGACCACAAGCTGAAACAAATTTTCCGCCTTGTTAGACTTTTCCTCACCCAATCAAGCAACAAAATATTGAAATACAAGAGAGAGAGAGAGAGAGAGAGAGAAAGTAGATTAATCCTAATAAAGGCTGAAAAGGCAGAGACAAAGTTATCAAGATTTTAGCATGGCCAATTTGATCGAATCAATTTACCAATAAACTCTGAACCTTCTAATCTAATGGTGTTGAGTAAATCAATTTATTGGGTAAAAAAGGGAATAATTTTATTCGGGAAAAAGTAAAATGGACGACTTTCTGGAGAAAATATTTACGTTTCTAGTATATTTGATAAAATTAATTAAATTGCTGAGTCGTCAATTTTCAGAATTTTGAGGCAATAGCTGAAAGTCGCTGAACCCCTAGTAATAAATGAGTTCTGCAATTGTAGGTTAATTTGGTAGGCAAACAAGACTGTAACAGTGGCAAACATCTGTCATTTCTGGTGATTTTCAATGTTGAAAGCCAAAAATACTTTCGATTTCTCCATAAACAACGGAGTGATCAATTCTTTACAAAATGCTTAGGACCATACCCAAAGAATCAAATTCATTTACGCGAAAGTTGGCGTTAAAGTGTCTCATGATTTTCCAAACACATACATCGCGACTGTTTTTATTTAAAAAATTTCTGAAAATTCTACGCGATCGTTTATTGTACCTGCCTCGCTTAGAGGGTTTTCTGGAATAGCTCTCGTTCTGAAAGCCAATGTTGACAAGATGTATCCGCCTGTCAGAAATAGTGTAAAAGTGGGGGCGTGCGATAGACTTACCACCACGTGGAGCACCCTGGGCAACGTATGCTCATACGGCAAAAAAGTCCATTAACCGGCAGTTGACTTCTCACTTCAAACTACCATTGCCTCACTGTATGCCATATTCTACCACTTTCACAGTACTCATCCTACCTTTTCTCTGCCTTTGTGTCTGTTTCTTTTACAACTGTAAAGCACTCTTCTGTTCCCCACTCCTCAACTTTCTGTTACTTTGATGTTCCTTCCCCTCTACGAAGCCAAAAAAGTCAACTAAAGAGCCAATGATTTCTATCAAAACGCCTGCCATTCGGTATAAATAAATAAATAGTGTTAAGGTAATAAATCTCGCATTATCTCAGTTCCAGAAAGACTTGTCGCCAAACCAACAGGGCCAAGTTATAATCTAAGCCGAAATCCAGACTATTTGACCACCAGACAAACAAAATATACTGCCTAAGAAAGACAAAGGTTGTCGTACACAAGCATCTTCCAGAAATCATTAACTTGCCAAGATGATCAAGTCTACAAGATGTCTTGGTCAAGCATGATCGCTTACCGTACTATTCAGTAGGCAGCGGAGGATTATACATCCAAAATAAACAAAGAAATTGGTGTTGCCAATCCAGTTGTTTCGACAAATTGCTCACATAAAATGTTTGCAAGACTGGTCTTTATTTTAATTTCAAAACCTTGGCCTCACATTGACCACTGTGTTATTGAACCCATCCGAAGATTCTTCCAACTAATCCTGTTTGATTTTAAGCCAAAATCGCTGGAAGTAGAATGCATAATGTCTACCACAACCGATATACCCATTAACAGATAACAGACGATATCTCAGTTTGATGTCATTCACGGAACATACTCTTAAATTACCAAAGGCGAATGAATACAACAAGGGTTTTCTGTGCGTGTACCACTTCACATCAAGGTGGAATCCAGAAACTCCGACCAGACCGCTACACCAAGCGTTTCGGAATACCTCGAGAGGACTAAGCGTGGATCTAATGTCCTAATTTAAGGATTAACACGTTTTGATGGAATAATTTGGATAAAAAAATGAATCATTGTACCCATAAAATTTTGATCCTCTAGCTAATCTAATCTTGCTAAGTGCACTAAAACAAATGGTGTTGACGTGTAGCATTTTAAACCGAAGCCAACTTAGAAGCAATTCTGCCTTATTGGTAGGTTCAGGGGATTCGCGTTTATTTTGGAGGATAAGGAGGTTACAACAAACGCTATAAATCTTCGAAACATTTAAATATTAAAGAACTATGAGGACCTTCATTATCATTACTGTCATGACTTCTCGCTCGCGTTCAAACACATTTTCTACTAAACAAAACTGCATCTTTCACTTCATAATTGATAATAGATATTCTTAATTGACTTCACCAAATTTGTCATACCAATAGTGAAATACTTCTATTTTGTACTCTGATACACATATAACAGTAATTTTTTAAATGAACCTATAATTTCTTGTATTTTGCTTAGTCCCACAAACACTTCATTTGCAAAGAAAAAAACCTTATTTTGAAAATCATCAAGCAAATTGGAGATTTAGTTGCGTGGACTCTTTTTTTGCTTTTCAACAGTGGCCTTTTGAGCAGTTTGCTTCAACTTAGTGTGTCTTGCAAGCATTAAAAAGCGATTGATTTACATCAAGCATCATAATGGATACGTAACCTCAGGGGAATAGTTAAAAGAGCGTTTTAGAATTCCTCAGCTTGCAAGCTGACTTGGTGGCCGAAAGAAGGAGTAAAGCACGGGACATTTGTCAATTTAATTAACATAAGACGGGATAATCAAAAACTTGAATAATGCTAATGACAATATCACGCTCCAACTCAAATACGATCAAATCAGCTACTACTTAGTGCTACTCTACTTATTGTTAGGAGGGCTAATTTAATATTTTCGACTCAACACAGAAACTTTATCTCTCATACACCTATTGCCACAGTCAAACATTTAAAACACAGCCAATCGCATATATAAGTGACCAATCATTGTGAACTACAGGTCTTCTATCTTCTTCTTAGAAATGAGTAACTGGTCATCAAGGTTGCACAACAGATCCCTTATTAATAGTCGACTGATTATTCAAACCTTAATAAAATGTTGGATATGAATAAAAACTCAATTACTAGGACCCCAGGGTTTGACTTTTCAACTCCTGATCATTGTGAAGAAACCCAAGTTCGCAGTAATTTTGTCGGTCTAGCTGACTGTACCTAGTTTTTTTCCTTACTAAAGTTATTTTTCAATAATAAAGAAGTAATTAGATTTTCCCATTGATCTTAAACACCGAATCGATGCATCGAACATCAGTATCACTTTCTCCATCATGGAAATGCTTGGTTACTCAAATAACCAATAACCGATCTAGGGGTTTGAATTACCACATAGAAGCTGATTTTCTCTTAGTAAACAGCTCTATGTACTACAGATAATGCCACAGTTACAGGTAAAAGTACAATAATTATGAGGCACTTTGAGGGGAAACATTTACTAACAATCTCATATCCGGTAGAAAATCAGTACACTATAGCCACACTTTAACAAATCCACTTTGAATTGTGCCTCTCTTTGTCAGTATTAAACGGAATGATTGATAAGACCACTCAGAAATGTGACCTTCAACTTGGAAGACATTGGCTATTCTGCTTTTGGAATACAAAAAAATAAAACGAAATTTCGTTCAGAGAAGTAGCTCAAAGCGTAGTTGATCAAAAACCCATTTCCTCGCGTAAATATGTCAGAAAAACAATTTGAAATAATAAGCAAAATTTGAATAATGAAAACGCTTCAAAAGGCAATAGAAGTGAAGGCTTATTTGCTTATATTTTCTTAAAATATACATATAAATTTTAAGAGCTGTGCTTTATAAGTTGTCTAAACTGTACCAGTTTCCGTTTGATACCATAGAGAATTGAGAAATAAGTAAAAGCTTGTTTATTCAAAAAAAAGACAGGTAAAGTTCAGTGAAATACAAACTGAAAAACATATTCAACAAAAGGAGTGAGAAGCTTTCTCAAGAAAAATTGAGGCTATTTTTCAATGCGTGCAAGTTTCAACACGTCAGCAATGGTTCCACCCAATTATGCAAAGTTATTCAAAATTGCTGCATAGTGAAGACTTAATTAAACGTAAATAGAAGAAAAAACACGTAAAAATACACTATATTGGAAATTATAAGTACTATAAAAAAATGTAAGCGTAGTAAAAATAAGTAGTGTCCTTAAACTCACGTTTCACGTTTGAATTGTAGAGAATGTACGATATCAGGAGGTTTTTGACGGATATTCCAAAGGTGGACGACATCATCTGCACAGATGGATATCAATCCGCCCTGGATGCGATGAAGCATTTATTAGAAGATATTACAAACAAGTAATCCAATAATAAGGACGCGATTTATAAAAATTCATAAAAGATAATTGAAATATTTGTAAAAATTACTTCATTAACGAGAAAGATTAGCTGAAGGACAGCTGCAGGGTTAGGATGCTCAAGATGAAATTCGACACCAGGTCTTCCCAATCTGAAATTAATGACGTATTAAAAAAGGCCAAAATAATAATAGAAATATTTATATTTGAAAGAAAATATCGATAAATCTAGTTCATGCATGTCGACCACAAAGGACAATCATTGAAATTGCTCACAATTTTATACATCCATTCTTAGTTCCAATAGCAAGAATCCGTTGAACAGGATCAAATGCCATGCATGAAGGCTGATAGGGGAATCCATGCTTTACGATCTGAATAAAAATGCGCATGAATATTAATAATATGACATACAGTGCCCAGTTGAAAGTGATCACTTTTTAATATTTCCTTGATATCTAATCCAGATTTATGACTATTTCCAGAAACAGAGGCAGCTAAGTTCCAAGCACGAAGTCCGTCGATAACCTTAAGTAACTTTTTTGATTTCGACGTCATCACAACGCACTATTTGTAAGTCCAATCTAACACTTTCCTCATATCTGACGACGTAACGCTTAAAAGAGCCTGTCGTGTCTTTAAGGCCGAACTGATACTTTAAACACATACTTCAATATATCCTTTAGAAATTTACAAATATTGAAGCAAATTTCAAAGTTTATTTGTTTCTAATTTTTTAAAATTCATTACAAAATCCATATTAATATTCTAATTAAGTAATTATTAAATTTTAAGTCGTGAGAAAATGTTCCAAAGGAATATTAAAGGTTTGTTAAATGCCTTTTTGGATTTCCTCAGAACTCGTTAAAGTTAAATTTATAATTCTACTCTAATTAACAGTGATGCATAAATTCTTTATAAAATGGCACTAAGATAAGTTCAATTTACTATAAACCAATCTCGGTCTTACAATTTCGCCGATGTATTCTCACTTTAGTTAGTTTTATATTAATTTGCTTCATTAAATATTGATGCTTTTGCACATTCCAACGATAAATCTAATGAGTTTTCAAGAATAAACTGTCATTAGATCTGTGCTGATTGTATTTTTATAACGAATAGTAGCGTATTCAGTTTCGGCAAATGGAATTCAAGCCCTTATTACATTTCCAAATACATGCGAAGCCTTGCGTACATTTCAAATATACATAATAAATGTAGCAATAAAGCATATTTCCAAGTTAAATTTGTAAATGCCGTGCCTCAGATTTCTTAACATCTCTAGCCAATGTTCAAATACCACCATTAGTCTTCATGTTTAATTGCCGTTATATAGATAATGACTACTTGCATGGGTTGCTAAAGATTATGGAAATATACCATTGACATAGTTGCTTCGAAATTGGATTTTGGCCTCCTGTTTCTGCTAGATGTTGCTTTTGTATATGTAGCTACTTCTTTTAGTTTAGATTATTTCTGATTATCCTTTGCATTCCACAAATTGGAAAAGCCATTAATCCTTTAAATGCTATCAACTCATTCAGGTGACTTAATCCATGTATGAACGAGGCAACTTGGAAAAAGTTTATCGACAAAAATGAGCTAGAAAAAACCAGTACAATTGTCAATTCAGCTCTGTCAAAAAGAAGCAGGTTTGTAGCGGATTGCTGCAATAATAAGCCTTGTCTATGCTCAAAAATCAATATGACAGATTCTCCTATGTTTCCAAAGACACCCAGAACTAGCTAACCTTCCCTAAAGCTTTAGATGAAGCAGACGTACCACACGATACACATCTATTCAGAATGTACGCGTGGTGTGCACGGATAAGGAGCTTAGTTATTATATCGATATGGCGGATTTGATCATTGATTGACAGTTGGTTCTGTGTTTTCCACGCTCGGGAAAGCATTTGCTTACGTTGCGTGCCCCACAGGTTAAATTTTGATTTTCTCAACTGCTTAAGGCTTTCGTTAGGAAGATCTAGTCCACTTTAGTAAATCTACAGAAACAGCTCTACTATGGATTAAAGGTAGTTTGTTTTTGGCATATAGATTCTAAAGCTGTCTATCTTAGTTACCATCAGAGTGACCTCTAATCATCTTAACAGCCTGGGGAGCTAATCATCCACAAGAATAGAAGGCCGCAGCTTTCCAATGCGCATGGATCAACGAGCATGTCTGTCTTATTAAGGCCTAGGAGCATTGATACTTCCTGAAGCTAATTCATTGAACCGCTTAACCGCATGGATGTAAGAAAGATGGCATTCCCAATCAACAAGAAACACATCAGACCTCCTAATGTGAACTATGGTAAATAAATAGGTACACAGTTAAATAGTGTCCAATTCACCAATTTATTAACTGAAAGCTCCATACATACTTAGCCAGATCATAATTTCGTACTAAATGCAAAATGCAATATTTCTAGATAATTTTTTTATTCATACAAAAAATACAGCAAAGTTTAGCTTACAAAAACCACATTGATACCATATATACAAGTTGAAAGTCAGCGCATAGCGAGACGACCATAGTCGATAAAACCGGGAACCACAATGGGATGAAGAAGTTCCATCAATTCCACGACTTCGCGCTGAAGGGTGTCATCAGAAGGGCTTCCAATGGCAGTCACTTCTACCATCAGGCTATTCGGAACCAGGTTTCTGCCTTTTTTGGCCACCTGTGCAGTGGAGTTAAAAAAACAATAGTAAATTACATCATAGACGTAGGAGAGCATATTTCAAAGGAACCAGCAAAGCATAAACCAGAGCAATTAATCATGAGGAGCTGGTATTGTTAGTGACCTGCAATATTCCATTACTGTTCTTTTAGTTTAAATCCCGGAAATGAGACCTCATCATTGATAATTGACTACTTAACAAAACATCCATTTAATCCCAAAACTATATAGGAAGTTTAAAGGAATACTTTCAATGGATTTTACATTTGAACTCAAACACTCTAATCTACCACAAAAGCTATTTTCGCTGAAATTATTAATAACTCAACGACCTGTAATTCATCACATATCTGCTCTTAAATAAACGCATGTCTGTTTGACAGCGCTAATAAACAGAAATGCGCAATTTTAACACAACCCACTTCGATCTGCAAAGTCAGTGGTCACGAGTTAGACCACCATGGATGGCCGATCCTAGAGCAGATTGACCAACAGTAATTGTTCAATCTGGCAAACAAAGAGGGATGGGAGAATCTGGGTCTAATTATAGGGAAGCCTTCACGCTACCAATCAGCAATGGAACTCATTTTCCTAATTCATTGTTAATAATATCCAATCACGCGAGTTTGACTTTTACCACTACAACAAAATTTAAGTAAACGAAGAAACTGAACAAAAGCGGCAGCGTAACGAAACAACAGGAGCATAAAATGAGAGAATAACATTTACCACACGTGGGTAGCTCCTTATTAACCTTGACTAAAGACAGAGTGTCTTAATTTAATAAGTCTACAGATGTACTACTATGATCTAGTATGGGAGTTTAAAGGGCCAAATCAACCAAACCTAACACGGTAAAATTTTCAAGGCACAACAAAATTGTGGGGGGAAATGCGTTAAAACAGGATAGATTTGTTAAGAAAAGTAGAGAAAAGTCTTGGGAACCTTTTCTAGTTGTACTAAGAGGATTCGCTTCACTGATTAACAAGTAGTGAATAAAATGAAGTCTAAATATACGGATACCAAGAAGTAATTGAACTACATGAAAAGGAAATTAGTTTATCACGGAAGAGCCCTACTTTTCATAGCTTCGTTTCTCATGAATGATTTAGCTCACTTGACATTGTCTCCACCTTTTAAAATACTAACTTCATATTCTAACGCCATGCTGCCCATTTTAAAAAGGTACTTTACCGCTCAATTATCTATCCCTCTTGTGCACTTGTTCAAACAAGTCACACAAATGTGGCCACTCAAACAGGTTTCAGACACGTTTTGTTTGCCTGACCTTAATGGTAAATCTCACTCTCCTGTTTTGAAAAGATTATAAGAACTAAGGTAACGAATTATTATTGTAAACAGTGGTCAACGTACAAAGCTGACAAGTCAGAGGTCGATGTTATCCTGTGATGTGAACACTTACATTGGCTTTTCAGCTTTTTTACTGGTATACATTCATTCTTCGTTTTCAAGTTGGCCTATGCATGTGTGCACAAATTCTCATTTATTTACTCATCTTCTAATAAGGTTATATGCTGGAACCAGACCGTAGAAGCTAAGACACAGGTGGTCAGCTAACAACAAGATTCAACAATTCCAAGAAGCAGAGCGTCGAGTTTGATAGGCCGAGTTACATTGAATAAACGATGACGATTCGAATGAGGGTGGGTGGGTGGGCGGGAGTGTGGGGGAGGGGGAGGGGACGAAGGGAGAGGAAAGCGTTCGATCTGGGCAACAAACAAAGGCAGCTTTGTTAGGAGGCACTCGGACAAACAGATCTAAGAGATTTGGTACAGATGTACTTTTGGGCGAGGAGGGGCAATTATAGGTAAATAAAAATCGTGAACCCGTAGTGATACGATTGATAAGAAATGGAGTCAAGGTGACATAAAGGGGATACTTCAACATATATTCACAAAGACTGTGGCTAATGTAATTTTGATAAATTCCTAGATTTATCATTAGTAATAATAATAATAATAATCAGAAACCACATGAAGTGAATCGGTGGGGCTATAGCTCTTTGGGAGCCGCAGGAAAGTGACAGATCTATTTGTTTTTAACATATGAGACTGCATTGACCCATTGGCCAGCATGACGTTGCTGTAACTACCCTGTTTAGTTTTCATAAGCATTCCACCACGCCCTCGGACGACCCTGCATCTCTAGATGGACTAGTGTAATATCAACGTAACCTAAATTACACCAACTTTTACGTAACAAATTCCCAACTTACCGACATTTGCATCTCCTGATGATAAACGACTTCATAGACCGAATAGACAAGAGCCTTAGCTCGACCTCGAATGAAAATATGACCCTCAGCAATGAACTCAAAGTCCTGTTTGAAGCCTAAGCACTTTAGGAAATTGCTTATTGAACCGTGTGCTGAGGCCTCTATATAACTGCGTCGAGAAATCTGAAAAAAAGGGCAAGTATTTACAAATAATTGAAGGTGCTCATTTGGACTAATTATTCATAAATGTACAAGGCCATTTCACAATTAATTATTTTATAAACAAAGTGCCAGCCGATTAATTAAAGGTGCCAACGAATCCTACTCTCCTAAGTTGACTACATTTGTTAAACCCCGAAAAGAATAGAAAATGTACACCAAGAGTAAATCTATAAACTGCATTTCATTCTATTAAGTTTATTTGCTTGATTAACGCGCTTTAACGACAGAGTTCACTTACCACGATCTCGATTTCAATTATTACCACTGATTAAGGTATTCTCCATGTTCTGTCGGTCGGATGGTGAACGTACCAATTCTTACCCCCCCCCCCCCCCCCCCACGTCCTCCTTTTGTCCTCTTTTTAATTATAGAAGAGTGCGAACACAGCCAAATGTGGTTAAAGGATAGGTTGATATGGTCTAATATGTAGTTGGAAGTTGTTGTATGTGCATTTTTTTCCTAATTGAACTCAGTCAAGCAGTCTTTGTAAAAATACTTCTAATTTATATTACACTTTTCCTTTTATCATTGGCGTTTCTACTGGCGCAAGAATACAACGGCCTTTCCTTACACTTAGTTTCGCCATACTTTAGACCTTCTGGGTCGTCTACGTAGAGGCTCAATTAAGCCAATCGCTCTACTCCTAATTTTTTTAGAAATATGCAACTCGAAAAAAAACAAAAACTTCAAGCTTAGCCTTTGTAGGGATTCGAATTTTATCATACAATTTGGAACTGAAATAAAGAAATAGATAATTCTGACATAGATGGAGAATGTACTCAGGTGTAGAGTAGGGTTTTGATGATAGTTTCAAGAGGTCAAGTTCGACAGCTATGATCTACCTACAGTTGACTCAGACGCAGAAAGGGAAAGAGGGAATACAGTTAGGATAATACGTTAAATTACCTGGATAAGGGTTATATATGTGAAGACAAACTGTGTTTCCATTATCCCCAAGCTCTACAGGAACTACAGTTGTGAACTTTATCTTATTGCCTCCTCAACACTAAGACTGGAATAGCACATTTGGAAATGTGGAGTAAGCGTTTAGAAAAGCAATTTTGTAGATCACTAATCCTCACATAAGGATCAATGACTCAACATGAGTGACAATGCTTCGACAGTATACAGACACGTCCAAATCCCCTTAACTTTCAGTTAATGAATAAGTGTTGTCACAACAATATCTCAACTGTGCTACTCGTATCTGTAATTTGTCTCATTACTATAGGGAAACAAAAATTTCAATATTAAATCAAATAGAATTTGAGTAAGAAGCAACCGGTTAGTAGTATTATTGTCAAATAGGCCAGGATAAACGCATAAAAATTGGGGGTTTAGACACTTGCACGATCAGTAGATTCCACTGCACCAAGGTACCTAATCACGGGTCTACTAATATACTCGCGTATATTCGGTTGCACAGTTCGACGAACACGAAAATTAACGAAAGTGGGTGTCGCAGTAGTCACAGAAGCGGGTAACCCTTGGAAGGAGTACGACTCCTCTTGATCCGTAAATGCACTGTGATCTTTACACAGACCACGCAGCCTCGACAATAGCAAAGGCTTCTGTCCAATCGATACTAACCCCTATGGAAGAAAAAAGGACAAAAAGAAAGGCTGCAAACATTTAATGGTCACATATCAGAATACTTCCTGATTTTCAGTTACTCCAGAAAGACCGAAGTGATCAATTTATTATTTTTTGCTAGCTAAATTCTATTCCATTGGGCAATTGAGATCTGTGAGAACACGTTAACCGGAACTGCACCAATATAGGACAACCGATGGTGACCACTCTAAAAATCATTATGGACCTCTAATAGAGTTAACCCAAACAGGTTGTCTTCAATACTCAGTTGCATGTGTTCCTTCGGACTCACTCAAAATTACCAATTTGTTAAAGCCACTTTCCACCCTTCCGTCTTTGATATTTGCAGCTTTACTTCGGACGCATCTTTGCCATATCACCTTCCCCAGTGACCCCCACCTTTCCATTTGGCCTGACCTAATCGTGTCCCGAAAACCTATTGGCTGAGGCTATCTTCTCTCTCCCCCATCTTTGTCAATTGTTTCCACAATGAACATTGATAGAGGCTAGAAGAAGTAGACTGTAGGCTATTAATGCTCCAAAATGTAATTTTAGATGCAATTACAAGTTAATTTAGTTGACATATAGCAGATGGAATGCCAAACACTTCAAAACAAAAATTTCAAAAGTTCATCTTAGGTTTAAGAGTATTTACAGCTCTCGACACGAGAATATAATCTCTCGAATTATCTAGTCTGTATTACCTGAATAAAGACCTCCTGCATCATATTTCCGCGAGGCTGAGAGCCAAAGAAAGGATCAATTCGATGAAGTGACTGCTGATCAGCAAGCAGTGACGGGACAATAGGCACTTCGGGATTTTCATACGTCATAAAGGGATCTTGTTGTGGTGGTGGCTGCTGGATCATAGGCTGCTGTTGATATTGTTGAGGCGGCTGACGATGCTGTTGCATCTGAGATGGCATAACTTGTGGGTTCCTTTGCACCTGTGGTCTAACCGGACCGCCACCAGGCTGCATTTGATATTGTTGACCGTCCATTTCTCACCTTAATATGAAAACTAAAATAATAATATTACTTAAGTTATATCAGTAGGTTATAGCAAAACAACTTGAATATGTAAATTAGTCATTGTATTAAACGGGCACAGCCGAAGAAAAACGTGTAAGTAAAATTGATCGAAGGAGGGAAGGAAGAAGTATTAGCGCTTAGTTGGTGTAGAAGATGGTTTACTGGCTAGAATAAGGTGATGATAGTTTGGAAGGATTTTGCTGAGAAAATCCAACTGTAAACTCTGAGGCATCGGTCGCTCTGAGGCTACACGTCTCTGGCACTGAGGATAGGAGACAAAAGGAAAGAAAGTTAACAAAACTGAGATAATACGGGTTTCTGAAAAATGAAGCACTTCACTTACATCCTCGCCGTAAATCATAGTGTTTTCTGGAAGTTGTTCAGGCGCTGTTAGACTACACATTGCTCCGACTACACAGCCATTAGAGATACGAACACGTGGACCGACGTAACACTTGGATTCAAAGACATTGCTATTACCGACTTCGCGACTGTATACACGAGCTCCAACCTGTGAAAAACAAATTCAAGTGCATAAATTGCAGATATCTGAAAACCAACAATCGTAGATGTCTATGTATGGCAAAATGGGATGTGCGATAGACTTACCTCCACGTGGTGCACCCTGGGCAACGTATACTCATACGGCAAAAAAGTCTATTAACCGGCATTTGGCTTCCGACTTCAAACTACCATGACCCCACTGTATGTCATATTCGACCCCTTTCACAGTACTCATCTCATCTTTTTTTCTACCTTTGTGTCTGTCTGCCACTTTTACATCTGTGAATGGCTCTTCTGTTCCCCACCCACCGACTATCTTCTAATTTGATGAACCTTCCCTCTGTGAAGCCCGAAGTTAGCTAAATGGCTAATGATAGCTATCAAAACGCCTGCCATTTGAAAT